TGTTGTTCCAAAAAAACTCCAAGGCCACCATTGCGCCCTGAGCTATTCACAGCGAAAGCATTGTCGAAACCTGGGGTACCTTTATGTAACACCTGTGTTTTTGCACCATCTTAAAAACCGCTAAAAAATTAGAACTTTTAAAACTTTACAACAAATTAAAACACTGACTAATTATTTTATGCAAAACCACTTTTAAAAGAAAATGTTTTCTAAAAACCCTTGCATCAAAACTCCACCATATGCATTTCTCTGTCTCATAGGATTTAATTGTAGCGCTAGGAATATTTTCTAGGATTAGAAGATCGCTTCACATTTAAATTTCATGTTCTGCACTTTGTTTGTCTGAATGTTGATGTGTATGTTTGAATGCTTGTTTGTTTGCCCTAGAATTTATTTGGCATCAAATAATTCTCCTTGACATTCTCCACCAAATACTTTTCCTTGACCTCCCCTTTGATTTACCAAGCTCCCCGTATTTCAAATTCTTCTGGAATTTAAATTCAAACCATGCATATACATCTCCTAGTTTATTTCCTAGAAATAAAAAGGGAATTTCATAAATGGGAAATGGCTCACGGGCTCACTCTCTCTCCCTCCCTCTTTCTGGCCCGCGCTGCGGCCTGCTCTTTCCCCCGCACTGGGCCAACACCGGCCCAGAAAGAGCAGCTCAATCCGCGCTCTCCCTCCTTCCCTCCATCTCCCCTTCTCTCTTCCCGCTTGGACCGCGCGCGCCTCCCCCACGATAGGCCAGCCCAACCAGGCCCCTGGCCCAGCAGCACAACAACAGCCCTTCTCCTCTTCTTTCCTCCCTCTCACCGACGTGTGGGGCCCTCCCGTCAGCTCCTTCTTCTCCAAGAGGTCAGCGACCACACTGTGCCCATGTCGCCACAGCCGCCGACCTCACTGTGCCCAACCGCCTCGTTCCGTTGTCACCTTCATCGAGCACGCCCAAGCTGATGGATAGGGACGCCAACTCACCACTAGCTGTGGCTGGAGATATTTTCTCAGCGAACCGACCTACTTGCGCCTATAAAAGCCGACCATGGCTGCCGAGCTCGCCACCCTCACTTCCATCGAGCTCGAGCAACCACCTCCCTTCTGTCGTGCTCTGCTTCTTCCCCCTTCCCACTCGCTCTGCTATCTTCCCTCTCTAACTACGTGTTCGACTCTGCTCCCTTGCTTCCCCAGCTCCGCCTTCGCACCAGGGCCGCGCCGTAGCGCCTAGCACCGCTGTCGGCGCCCTGCGCTCGTCGTCGCCCTTCTCCCTCTGCTCGGCCGACCACCCGCCGCACACTGCCCTCCCCAGCCTTGCTCTGCCCGCTCGTCGAGCCGCTCTGCTCCCTCTAATCCCCTCCGACCTCGCCCTTTCTGCGGACACCGCGCCGCCGGAGCCGAGCCACGCCGATCGCCTGCCTCCACTCGGCACACCGCCGACCAAGCCCCGTCCGCTGCTGAGTTCCCTCTCCATCTCCCTCTTCTTCGCTCCGCTCCTCTTCTCCCTGTTCCGCGCTAGGGCCCACTTCGCCGGCGAACAGACCATCGCCGGAGCCATTGCCGCCGCCCGCTATGCTCTGTCTCCTTCCTATCCTTGCTCTCCCCACCACCGGCGCGCCTCTTCCTCTCTGCTCCGCTCTCACCCTCACCACCGTTGTTCCACTATCTTGCCCTCCCACCTCGCCTTGACTACAGCCACCGCCGGTGTGCTTTTCCCTTGCTCTCTTCCCCCTCTCTTCCTTTCCTCTCTTTCTCGCTCGCGTTGACCGCATAAAGGGAGAGGATGGACCAACGGGAGAAGGCATTCGAGGCCGCTGGCCATGGCGGCGCAGCCAACAGGGAAGCACCACCCATAGGACCCACGCGTCAGCCAAGGAGGAAATTGCTACGCGCACCCGAGAAGTGTACACCGAGGAGTGAAACCCATTTTCCCTATGTCAGAAAATATCTAGAAAATTCTTAAATAAACTAGGTACACCCCAGATCCTACCCAAGTGTGTTCACCCCATTTCCATTCCCAGAATTAATTTTCAAAATATATTCCATGTACCCTTTTACTATTAAAACTTTGATAAATCATACCTTTTTCATCTTAGCTCCAGATTTATTGATTCCACCACCAAAATTCTTCTAAAATCAAGCTCTGTCTATTCATACCATTTGTTCTATTATTTGGTGCCCATTTAAATTCTAGTTTGATTACTTTTCCATTGCTATATTTAAATTAAATACTAATAATAGTAGTACCCATCACCGTAGTAGTAGCTGACCCCGTATATTCACGCATGTGTATGTACCATGACACATACTCGAATATATCCGTACCCAATCACCTAAAATGAGTAGACCCGATACCCGGGTATACGCCTATATGTATGATAACCCTAGCAACCTAGCTACTCAATTCTACTTAATCATGGGCATATACATATGCATGAGCGTATATGCCGCTAACCCTAGCCATAACCTAGCCCACCTAATTAACCCTAGGCACATACATATACATATGCATGTGCGTATGTGTCGCTAACCCGGTGGACCTGTAGAAGTCAGATGAGTTATCTATGATGACTTGGTCTGACTTCCTCTTTCAGGGTCACATAATAGTGAAGCCTAATATTGTGGTCTGGTTTTCTATCAGACCACCCACCCACCATAACCTAACCCGTAGGAGCCATACCCTATGGATGAAATCCCTTCATCCAAACCTTACTTCAGATTGACGTAATAGTGATAACCTAGATAACAACACATCACCTAATACGATCAACCCATCTAGGATCGTTTCGTTCACTTTGATTACTTATGTTTGTTTTACATGCCTCGCTTGTTATTTTCCATGTTTGTGTTTTCTTACCTGTCGACGCTAGACCGCGTAGGATAGAATATGTGGAGAGAACCCGATGAAGTCCAGAAGACAAGAACATGAGAAACAGGAATCGGACGAGGATATAATCGTCAGCGAATGGAGGCAAGTCCTAACACCTACATGCCTCATCCCTCCACCTTATTTGCCATCCCTTAACCACCTCCCTTCCACCACCACTACATTTTGCTAGCCTCCATCATAAACCCTCCACTATCCATCTCCACTAATTAATAAAACCTATATTACTTGAAACCCCTTATGAATTAATGAAACTATAATTATGAGCTTGATTATGATAATATGATTAATGATGATAAGGTAATGGTTACCTTGATATGATATGAGCTTTATGAACTAGAGGATAATAACTATAAAACTTAAACTGATAAAACTGGACTAAACCCTGACAGGGGGCGAGTGAGGGGTAATTTGTGTGGTACAAGTTATCTTGGCATGTTCGCCTAGTTAGGGTTCCTGTAGAGAGATACTCGCCTCGGTCACATATGGACTGGTTTGTAGTCCCTCTCGCCTAGTGCGATATTATGTATAGCCACATGTCTGTATGGGTAGACTTCATCTCATACCCCATTAGATAGAAGTATAATTTCTACTAGGGGCCGGTGTTGGCAGCGGAATATCAGGAGAAGACATGGATGCGGATCATCTGTGGTCCGGTTGGCGAGGTTGTTATGTGATCCTCCACATTAAGCCCCTTGATTTTTTGTCGCGTTCGAGCCCATGTTATTGTTTATTCTGGCCACGTTCGAGCCCATATTATTGTTTATTTTGATGATTTGGTATCATTGGCACTATTATGTTGGGATGATGTGGTATCATCCGAGATTATGAGATGGGACGATTTGGTATCCTCCCAAGTTTAGTGTGTTCTCCAACCCCTGAGAAGCCATAGTAGAGTTATATGGAAATCTAGGGTAGCACCCAAGCAGGTACGGGATCTCGTTAGGCCTGTTCCTGCCACCGTGCATGGTTTGGAGCTATGGCTATCATGTGGGGAATTTGTACACCTCTACAGAGTTTATTGAATCTATTGGAATAGCCACGTCCTTGGAATGGGCAGATGCTGGGATGAGATACTATGATTAGACTTCTACAACTGTGGTAATCTGGTAAGACATATTTTACTAATTTGGTAAACTATAATGAACCCTGGAAACTAGTGAGAATGGTAATACTTTGCCAGGGTCCAATCTATAATTATAATTACTTCACCCTACCACTTTTACCTTAACCCCTTTAACCCCCTCCACATATAGCCTCCCCCTTCCACCTCACCTCCACCCAAAGTTTAGAGCTTGCTGATTACTTTATGTACTCAACCCCTCACCATTCTATGTTTTTAGGAGTAAAGCTACAAGAGCACATACCAGGATGGAACTATTGGAGTTACGCGAGGATAGGACAATAGGAGAATGTGCAGTATGGAGCTATCGAGGGGCTAGCAAGCAATGATAGGACACCTAGAGTATACTTGAAGATGAGAGCCATCGACGACTACAGAAGGAGCTACGCTAGGACTACGCCGTTGGGATATAGGAGTGCAGCTTAAGGAATAAGTCTAGGGTTACGTCCGCACTTCAAGTTACTGTAGGAATGGAGCCATGTTGACATAGGACCATTGTCTTAGAACTACGATATACTATATAAGGCCAATGGCCCAAGCTATGTAACTCAAACCATGTAATATGTTTTCTCCAAGTAGCAATAAAAGTATGGTTTTTGATATCAATCTTGTTGAATTGTGCTTTTTGACTCTTGATCTAGGGTGATACATGATGCATAGAGGACCCTAAATTAGGGGCCCGACACTTTTAGACTTTCCACCCGTGCTCAATGGACACCGAGTTTCAAGGACACAAAGCACGGTAGAGGGCAACTTTCTTCGCTAACTCATGAAGCTCTTTCACTATCGCAGTATTTGCCCAATCGCATGACGCCATTTGAGACAACTCATAGCGTCAGGCGGGCTCCCTCCTTAGTGTCGCCAAAAAAATAGCTACACAACTGCTACCTTGCACTTCCGCCTTTTTCTTCTTATCCTTCAACTTCACGACTGAAACTTCCGCCATCGCCATCCAAAACAGCTTCCCCAAGTCTAAACCCTAGGTCCTGTCCCACCATGGCTGGACAACTACGCGACAGTCCTGATCAGCCCAAGCGGGAGAGAGATAGGAAGGGTCGAGTAGGGGGATCCGACATCACAACCCTCCGCCGCCGTAGTTCACCGGTGGAGTCACCGTCCCGCGTCGTGGTCTATCTTCGCATCTTGCTACACGTCACGGAGGCCGGTGAGAGAAAAATCTCTCATCATTGCGGAGCTCAACGCCGGCACGGAGGTCGGCGATGGCGCATGGAGCTTGCCGGTGCAGTAGCGGCGTGGGCAACTCGCAAGCGAGGCGACATCACATGACGCTTCTCCCATTGCCTACTTGCTGGAGCATCCGTTGTGGAGTCTCGCTGGTTCGGTGGAGGCGGCTGCGACGAGCGGGCTGCCCGGAGTGGAGAAGACGAGCAGCGCGGTGGAGGCAGAGCGTAGTAGAGAGATTTTTTAGGAAGGAATGCGGACAGGAACGAGCAGATGACACAGTAGCGAGTTGGGAAGTCACGGCCGTCCATCCGGATGCCCTCACGAGAGCATTGACATGGTAGAATAGGATCTAGACCGTAAGAAATGAAGAATTGCGGCATGGAAGAAGAACACGGCATAATCCATGGGAGAGAGAACGGTAACGAAATTGGGGACGGTTTCAACATTTCAGGTGTGCGTTCGTTGTCAGTTTTCCTAGCACAGGTCCATGGACCTCGATTGATATATCCACAGCGTCAATCATACAGGCTCCTAGGCCCTCACAACTCTAAGCCTAACTCCTAAACGTCGGTCCAAGGCCTAGCACCTTCGAACGCCACCATCCCTTTACAATGCCTTCGGCCTTTCCTTTGCTTCATCCTGTTGATATTTTCTTATTTTCGTGAACTGGTTGGGTTCCTCGTGGTGGAACCTGTCCATCCGGGTTCAAGTCCTCGTCTTGGCATGGATGCTCGCATTTTTCTAGATTTATTCTAGGATTTAATGGCGCTAAGCTTTCAGTGGTCGGCGACGTCCCCGTCGACAGCGAGACGCCTGTGGTGACTTCGTGAACCTCAAGATCTGCCGCCTCAGTCCTTCAGAGGTGCTCATCGGGGTAGGTTTGCGTACGTGCGTTCATAGGGGTGAGTGTGTGTGCGTATGTGGGCGTCTAAGTTGTATTGTGTAATTAAAAAAAAGATATTTTCTTATTTTCGTTTAATTTTTCTTTTTCCTTTTTATTTTATTTATTTTCTTGGTTAAATGGGATATTCTAGAATGTATTATAGATTGTTTTATAGTAATTTTTACATATTTCATATATGCATTCTATCTTGTTTTTTATAGTACTTATATTTACACATGGTGTATTTTGCAATAATGTGTCTGTGAGATCACTATGCCACAACCCAAAATTAATCGTCAGATGAGGGTGGCTAAAAATACCAAAATAATTGGAAGGTCGGACGATAAAGATTAGTAACAGACAATTGGTTGTTATTTCTCGTTTTCGCAACACACTATCGGTCAATATTTTTATTTTGCTTTACCACTGGACCGTCGTTATGGGCCTGTTTGGGACTGCTCTGCTCCATCTTTTGTAGCTCTGCTCCTAAATTTTTCTGCCAAACAGGTTCAACTCCACAAACTCTGCTCCCAAAAAAAGATGGAGTTTTGGTTCAACTCCACGTTTTCCCGGAGCTCCTCAGAGGGTACTCCACGAACCAGCGTTTCATATGTCCTCGTGGAGTTGAAGGTAATTACCCGCAATTGCCACTCGTTACGCAGATACCGTTTCGTTCTGTTCATGTTTCCTTCCGTCGCCCCCCACCCGACGCCCTCATCCTCTACTCCCGTCGCCGGACCCCTGGTTCCAGTCCTCCGCCGCCATCACCACCTCGCTCTCCCGCGTCCTCCCCAACTCCACCTTCCTCGTCCCCGACGACTCGCTCCTTCCCACCGGCGAGGACTTCAACTCCTCCGCCGTCCCGGCCCCGGCGCGGGATGACGACGACGCGGCCGCGGCCGTCAGCGTCGCCTCCGCCGCAGCCGCGGGCAACAGGACCTGGGACCCGCGCGTCCTCGCCGCCGTCAAGGCGTTCAACGCCAGGGCCTTCTTCCGCAAGTCCATCGTGTTTCTCAGCTACGAGGCGCCGGTGCCCGGCCCCAAGCCCGGCCAGTGCGACGTCGCCTGGAGGTTCCGGAACCGCCGGGAGAAGTCGTGGCGCCGCTACAGGGACTACCGCCGGTTCAGCCTCACCTCGGGCGATGGCTGCGCTCTTGACATCGTCAGCGTCAGCAAGTTCCGGTCGGGGACGAATGCAGTTCGCCGACCGTATCCTGACCTGTTCATTTGGAGCTTCCTGTGTGGGCTCGGTGAAGCCAAGTTCCTCAACCGGACGTTCGTGATGGATCTGAATATCTGTTTGTCTGGGGCACACACGGTGGATGGGAAGGATGTGGATGGAAAAGATTTCCGGTACCATTTTGATTTTTGAGCACTTGAAGGAGAGTGTGCCGGTGGTGGAGGAAGGGGACTTCCTGAAGGATTGGAAGCGGTGGGATAAGAAGAAGGGTCCAGGACGGATCACAGTGCGGAAGGTTCCATCGTACAAGGTAACACCGATGCAACTGAAGAGGGACAAGAGCAACATCATTTGGAGGCAGTTCAATGGTCAGGAGCCCGAGAATTACTGGTACCGAGTTTGTGAAGGGCGAGCTGCCAAAGTCATCCAAAGGCCCTGGTATGCTATTTGGAAGTCAAAGAGGCTGATGAACATTGTGACTGAGATTGCAGGTAGGATGGATTGGGATTATGATGGTTTGCATGTTGTCCGAGGGTGGAAGGCGCAGAACAGGCAAATGTATCCAAACCTGGATTCTGACACATCGCCTGATGCACTCGTTGATAAGGTGACCAAGCTTGTTAAGACATGGAGAAATCTCTACATTGCAACTATTCTCTAGTTATCTATGGACAACTATTTCTATTAGAATGATGGACTTTGTTATCTTATCTATCATTAGTCATGTATGGATAATTATTTGTATGCGAAATATGAACTTTGTCAATTATCCATCAAGCGCTTTGAAATTTACGTGACAAAAGTATGGAATTATTTGGCCAAAATATTTGTTTTTTACTTTTCTCTAATAAATTAAATGAGATTATAATATTTACACCATATTTGAATTGGTAAAAAAAATTCAATTACACATGCTCCAAACATCGATCAGGGGCACAGTAGACCTTTCCTATAGAAACCTCATGTTTCCAGAGCTGGAGCTAAACTGCGTGCCAAACAGGTCCACTTGCTCCAGAAACTCCACAGTGGAGCTGCTCTATGGTGGAGTTGGTGGAGCAGAGCTGAAAAAAGTGGAGCAGAGTAGTCCCAAACAAGCCCTATATCCCCATTTTCACGACCAACGGACTACATATGAATTGGCAAGCGTGCACTCAATTGGCCCTATTCACGTCTAAATTCTACGGGCCCACCAATCAAAGCAAGCCCTAACGCAATTATACCTCAGCACGCCTAATTTTGTCCCCTTATAACGATATATAATGAGACACTAAAGATGGACTGTGATATAGTGGACGTTCGCTGGTATATTTTGGTTATTCACTCTCGACCATTTTTACCCCTAGCTCAGTGTGACAGGAGTGGCAATAACCTCTTCACTAACATCCCCCACAGCATCTCCAACTAAGTGATTGAGAGCTTGTAAATTTAACTCATCTTTTGATTCCTCTCTATCAAAGTCCAAGTTGCTTGAACGCGCGCGCGCGAGAGAGAGAGAGAGAGAGACGCTGTCCGTTAACTTCTACTCTTTATATGCTTATAAGGTCATTAACCGATCAACCAATCCTAGTAGTATCTGAAGAACCTAGCTAGGAAGACTCCCACATCCCGCCCTACTAAATGTTCTTGATTACCATCATACCATGTCATCCGAGGAAGACAAAAAAGAGTCAACGTTTTTGTTACCTTTTTCAACTGGGGTTTCCAGGTTCTTTGTTGGCTTTTCACTAGCACCCTCCTACGCATCTCGCGCTCTTTCGGGCTGGCGTGACACTTGCAGGTTCAGATAGCTCGCTGTGACAACCTCGTTGTTATTTATGTTTGCAGATTTTTTTAGCAAAATTTATATTTGCAGCTAGGCTAAGCCCAGTCGGCTTTAAAAGGCCGGACTTGGTCAGCCCATTCCCGTAGTGCTGGCCAAGCACTACCCTTATTGCTCGGTGCCAACGCTCTGCCAGGTTTAAATAGCATGGTTTAGACTTTGTCAAATTTATATTTATTGTAAATTCCCTTTTTGCACATATAGTTTTTTTCTCAAACCAATTAAGTATGAGATGCCCCTGGTGCATCTTTTGTAAAAAAAAGTATTTTTTTTACAAGAACATCCGTTCAGGAAAGCATTGTCAGCAAAAACCCTCTGTATGTGCCTCAGTGCCTGTATGAATGCTCAACACAGTGCCTGTATGAATGCTCAACACAGCGTCGTCAGACGGAAGACAGGCAGCATATATACATGTTTTGTGTCATCCATGTGCTCATGTCATTAAGTGGCCACCCATCGCTATGCAGCCTGTTCGTTTGGCTGTGGCTTGTCGTAAATGATCGTAAATTTTCAACCGGAACAATATTTTTCTCTCACACAAACTAACCAGCAGTATTTCCTCACGAACCAGCCAACCTAGCTTATGATCACTCACTTAATGTGCGTCCAACGAACGATCAGTAAATAAATCAAATGGCCTCCTACTAATGATGAAAAATAATAATCAGTGGCGCAGACAATCTGGCTTGAGATTCACAGGATTCCACTTAGATATAAGCGATGCGTGTAGGGCTCTTAGGTGATCCATCATACGCAGGGCATCTGCCCCTGCAGGGCCTGTCTCCCTACCGAGGTAGCGCGAATATTGGCGACCCTATCTGCACTGCACTATAGTGCACTGAATTGCATATTGCATTGCATGGGTACGGTCTCTCTGTAAAGTAATATGCTATTCTCCGTCGTGTGAACATACGGCAGAGGTAGAAACCGAAAGGACTTTCTGCTACTGCACTGCTCTCCTACCGCACTGTAGCCACAGTAGAGTTAGGCGCCAAAGTCAGCACTGCTGTCACACCTAGTCACTGTAGCAGCATGTCAGCCTGGCATGTCTATGTATTAGGATTAGATGGGTAGAATTGTATATATATCTTCCCACTGCAACTTAGTAAAGAGAGCGAGTTCAGTTTTGCCATCTCCTCTGCAGAGCTCCGATCAACGCTGGTGCTTGTGTTGTGTGTGTGCTTTATTCTTTCTCCCTTCTTCTACCTCTAGCCATAGTGTGTGGTTGGCAACACTGGTGAGCGTTCAGCTTACCCGTGCGGGACGCAAGTGTAACAGAACCGACCAATTATACGAGATTAAGTAAGAAAATCTTTCGCCGAAGCAGATAATTTAGCAAACTTAAACCCGTATAACCCGGTAGTCCGTGAAACCACGAAGGATTTCAAACCAATCGACATACAAACCAAGATCGTACAAGTTTAGCAAGTACCGTCACACGTTACATAAAGTTCCCAACGACCGTTCATACATCAGAGTTTGAAACATAAAGTTATTACATACCAAGTTCGAACTGAAATAGCGGAAGCAAATAGTTTTAAAGCCACACACACTTTTGATTCAGATACAGAGCAAGTAGGTAGTCATCTCCAACAAAAGCATCAGATGAGAAATACGGAGTGACCATTTGCCCTTGGTCCTAGTTGTCACCCATCGCCGGATACATGCAGTTAATGCAATAGCCGTAGTACATTTGACCATCTGCAACAACAATGGGAACCAAGGATTATGCAAGGCTTTCTTTAGTGGGCTAGCTGACTCTTTTGTGAAAGCATAAGTTATCATGAATAAACCATTTTAAGTACTTTGCATCATCTTTATTATAACCTACCCATCTAGGTAAGCACCTGTACTATAGCAATCACATGATTAACCAATAACATCCAGTTACCAATTTAGCTTGGCATAACTCACATCATCCAGATAACCATCATTGTTCCATAATAATTACTACGATGCCGTAGCTCGAGTCAAGTGCTCACTATCCAGGAGCGATGGCGATTCGAATCGATTTCTAACCAGCTGGTGATTTATTCCTCACACAAACCATGCTTCCCCTGTCAGGGTAGCTTAGATCACAAATGACACTTTTTAGGTAGCCGCGGGATAATCTGGAGCCGTAGTACCCAGGGACCGCCCGACTGCCAGGAATCAGGTCACACCTGCCCTTGGGCTCACTCTTCGCGCCCCTATCATACCCCCATCAGCACCAATACGCGCACTCGTGTAGATCCCGGCCCGAATAGTGCCACTAGCTTCGTGGTCGAAAGGTACTTTATTCGGCCAGCTAAATGTGAGGTATGCGTTCATCATGACAAGAGAGACGAGCAATGATCAGTCCTTAATCGACACAGACAGAAAACTAACAGCACCTCAGAACCCTGTCTGGTTGCCTCCAACTATTCCGTCCGGTCTCCAATTTTCCATCACATATGGTTAATTCTAGGATATCATTCTTTTCATAGCCAATCTCTTCCAGTAACCACCTATAATGTAGATGACCGGGTATCACCGATCGCTACCGGTCTAAGCAAGGCTAAGCACTTATTCGATCCTGACCTAACAGGGTAAAAGGTAATAAGGTAGGCAAGGATAGTAATAAATGCATCAACGGTTTTAATCAACTCATACAACTTAATGCAACAATATATAAACTCATATATATATATATATAAAGAATTGCTTTTATAAAGTAGGAGACTTAGAATGCTTCGGGGCTTGCCTCGTTCGAACGAACTAGGTTGGTGATCCACGCACTCCGGCAAGTCCTCTCCTTGCTCCTCTTCCTCTGGCACCTCCTGTGCCTGGACTTCTTGTGGATCTGTCTCGGTCTGCTCTTCCTGAACTGATACTAGCAACTCCTCCTGCGATCATGTATGATGCAGATGTATAAGTGCTAATGCATAGGTGCATCGGAGAGATGACATGTAATGATCATGATGCATGAAATGTAGATGACCATGTTTAACTTTATTGAACATAGTAGTAGCAAAGCTCGTCTAAAAGGTAGTCGACATCATCCAAGAACATGTACTACTATCTACTACGACAACCATTATACTAACATGTCAAATCACCACAACAAGTTAAGATGCTTCAAAGATACACCAAAGCAAACATTATTAACTAAACATGCATTAAAGAAAATTATTTCATTTCATTTTAAACTAGGGCTACACAGCAACATATATTTCTAGTGCTCATAAAAATATGAGAAAATTACAGTAGCATAGTACTACTCTAAGTAGATTGCCATAAAATTTTCATGGCATTTGGATAAGTAAAATATCCTACACAAAAATGACAAGCTATGGTTGATAATTAAGCATGAAAATACTTTGTACTATGAAAAGTGTCAAACAACAGATTTGGTATTTTTCCTATGTTCTACACAGTAAACAATCACTGCACAAAAATTATCATACACATATTTTATACAATTTTTGCTCTCTATCAAAATAACAAAAATCATCAATTAAAGGCACTTGAACTACACATCAATATTTCTCTACGGAACATGCATGACATATATTTTTCCTACAAAGTACATCACTAAAGGAGATTAATAAAACTAGAACCACATTTTTCTGATGTATATTCTATTTACTAGACATTTTCTAAGAAATCAGCATTTATTCAATTTAAATAAAACTACACGGAAAAGTATCACAAATTTGACATGCAATATTTTTAGTAGATAGATCTAGTCACAAGAAACCTAGCAAAACTTATTTCAACAAATTTGGAGCCATTTTGAGCAAGTTATAAATTTCCAAAGCCTTTGAACAAAATCTGTAAATCATTTCTTAATTTCATTCTAAAAATCCATGTTCGAAATTGCT